TCACTTAACCATGTGATCAATGAATATGATAAAAACTTGCAAATGTTGGATAAATTAGGAGAACACACAACTGATTGGAGCACAATGTTGGTCCATATGCTTTCAAGCAAGTTGGATGCCACAACGCTTCGTTTGTGGGAAACGGAGCATCGTTCAAAGGAAGTTCCAAGGTTTGAGAACATGATGGAATTCCTGAGAAATCATCGTACGGTTCTGCGGTCAATTGCCGGAGAAATTCCTAACCCACCAGAACAGAGGAAAGCATCTCGGGTAAGCAGCAGTTACGCCGGAATGCAGTCATCGTGTCTATTGTGTGGTGAAGGACAACACATGGTGTTTCAGTGTAAACGGTTCAAGTCAATGAAGGTTGACGAAAGGAGAAATGCTGTAAGATCGAATCAACTTTGCTACAATTGCTTGTCTCGAGGACATGCTGCCAAGGTCTGCACACGGGGAACTTGTCGTATTTGTGGACAGCGACATCACTCTATGTTGCACCTCAAGACGAATGAATCGTCTAACAATCAGTCAGTTCCACAGTCAAACAAGCGTTATCAACAGGGCCCACAGATCCCACAATTGATTCAGACACCCACAACCTCACAAGCTAATAATCATGCTCCTAACACTCCTCAGCAACCCAACATCCCATCCACAATCTCCACACCAGCTATTCCAAATTCGCAAAGTCAAACACCACGTACCACAGACATTCCTACTAGCCACAATGTGGTACTCTCTGCTAATGAACCCAAGGCACCACGATCGGTCATACTCGCAACCGCAATCGTGATCCTTGAAGATCAATTCGGGAATACTATGCAAGCTAGAGCATTACTAGACAGTGGCTCTCAGCTTTGTTTCATTTCGGAACACACGTCACAACGTTTGAAGTTCAAACGCTCACGCGAAGCACTTTCTATTAGTGGTATTGGTCAAGCTGCTAAAAAGTGCAAGCAATCCATCTTCGCTCGGGTTCGCTCTCGTATCACTTCCTTCGCTGGGGAGGAAGTATTCTACGTACTTCCACAAGTTACGTTGAATTTGCCCATTCGGAAGATTGATTCATCAAGGTTGGAGCTTCCGGAGGATATCGTACTCGCCGATCCACTTTTCACCGAGCCTAGCAGCGTTGATGTGATTATTGGAGCAGGACTTTTCTTTGACCTGCTGCGCAACGAGAAAATCAAGCTCGGGGATAATGGACCTATTGTACAAAACACTTCTCTAGGCTGGATAGTTTGTGGAAATCTTCCTGACGAGTCGAACGTGCTCAGACCACACGTTGCCAACACGTGTACGGAGAACTTGGACGAATTGCTCACTCGTTTCTGGGAATTGGAGTCGTGTAAAACGGACAGCGTACTATCGTTAGAGGAATATGCCTGCGAGAAGCTGTTCGACCGTACTACAGTCCGAGAAGCATCTGGAAGGTTCATTGTAACGCTTCCAAAGAAGGATTACCTCATTCAACAACTCGGAGATTCAAGGTCCACGGCATTGAAACGCTTTCTTTCTCTCGAGCGTCGCCTGGATGGCAATGCCGAATTGAAGCAGATGTACAGTGACTTCATTCACGAATATCTGCGTATGGGACATATGGAGGAGGTGGTGGAAAACGAAGAGGACGCTGTTACGTCAGAGTACTTCATACCACATCACTGTGTCATCAAGCCTGACAGCACAACTACCAAGTTGCGGGTAGTGTTCGATGCGTCATGCCCTACATCGTCCGGAATCTCTCTCAACAATGCGCTGATGGTTGGTCCGACTGTCCAAGATGATATAATCGCGATCGTCCTTCGATTCAGGTTCCATTGGATCGCCATCGTTGCAGATGCTGAAAAAATGTACCGTATGGTACTGCAACAGTGGGGGGACCGGAAGCTGCACAAAATCTTCTGGCGGGACAACCAGAATGAAATGATCCGTGTCTTCCAGCTAAATACCGTTACATACGGAACGGCATCAGCGCCATATTTGGCCACCAAATGCCTTAAGCGGCTCGCAGAGCTTGATGGACACAAACATCCCAAAGCAGCTATAATCCTCAGCAAGGATTTTTACGTTGACGACATGATGTCTGGCGTTGACGACGTACAAGAAGGAATCAAGCTGTGCAGTGACATTCAGCAGCTATTGAAAGGTGGAGGATTCAACCTACGGAAATGGAGCAGTAACTGTCCGGCTGTCTTGGAAAAAATACCCGAGGAACTCAGGGATGACCGCACTTCTTTCGAGCTGGACGATTCAAGCGCTACCATAAAAACACTAGGGCTGATCTGGGAGCCTAGATTAGACGTTTTTCGATTCAAGGTGCCGCAGTGGAGTTCGTCGGAAATATGCAAGCGTTCCGTTATTTCCGATCTTGCGCGGATCTTCGACCCTCTTGGGCTTATTGGAGTTGTAATCATCACTGCCAAAATATTCGTCCAGACTCTCTGGAAACAGAAATTCTCGTGGGACGAACCACTACAAGATGAACTCGGAGCTCAATGGACAGAGTTTCGAGACAGCTTATCAAACCTAGAACACCTCCAGATTCCAAGATGGATCGCTTTTCGCAAGGATTGTCTTGCCGTTGAGCTCCACGGCTTTTGCGACGGATCAACGAAGGCCTATGGAGCATGTTTATATGTCCGATGCACACACTTCGACGGAACAATCACTTCGAATTTGCTGGTTGCAAAATCCAGAGTAGCTCCGCTGGCGGAATCAGAAAAGAAGAGGAAGAAGCTTACGACGCCCCGCTTGGAGTTATCTTCCGCTGTATTGCTGGCTCACCTGTACGAGAAGACATCTGCAAGCATCCAGGTATCGACCCAGCCGTACTTTCACACCGATTCTATGATCGTAAGGTACTGGCTGTCATCAACACCGTCACGTTACCAGATGTTCGTGGCAAACAGAATATCGGAGGTACAACGCCTCACCAGGAGTGGAACATGGAGGCATGTGGCAGGAACAGAGAATCCCGCAGATGCACTATCTCGCGGTATTTCACCTGCTGATCTACAGGCTAACATGTTATGGTGGCATGGACCGGAATGGTTGAGGAAAGATAAACAGATGTGGCCGGAAACGCAAGAAGTTGTACTGGATAACCTGGATCGGACGGCTCTCGAGGAAGGATCCACTGTGGCAGCAGTTTCTACAATTACTCCACCGAGCGAGATCTTTGGCATACGTTCTACATTGCATCGTGTGGAAAAGCTGGTTGCATGGTTGCTCAGATTCAAGTACAACGCACTGCATGCTCGTGGATCAATATCCAAGAAGACGGGTCCACTGACGTTTGCGGAACGAGAAGGCGCTCTGTTGCATCTAGTGAAGCTGTCACAACAGGAGTGCTTTGCTCAGGAAATCGCAGATCTCGAAAGGAATGGGGAGGTTAAGCCAACTTCTCGCATCAATGCATTACATCCGATGCTGGTCGAAGGTGTACTCCGAGTTGGCGGCCGGTTGGAGAATGCAGAAATCTCGCAGAGTCGGAAGCATCCCATGTTATTGGATAAGGATCATCCGCTAACATCCATGATCATGCGTCGATACCACTACGAAAATCTTCACGCTGGTCCTCAACTGTTGATAGCAAGTGTTCGCGAACGGTTTTGGCCACTCAGTGCTCGAAGTCTGGCTCGGAAGGTTGTGCATAGATGTATAACCTGCTTCAGGAACAAACCAACCGTGCAGGATCAACTGATGGCTGATCTCCCGGCTGAACGGGTAACACCAGCTCCGCCATTTCTACGCGTCGGTGTAGACTATTGCGGTCCCTTTTTGATAAACTATCCCTTTCGGAAAAGGACCACCGTCAAGTACTACGCTGCTATCTTCGTTTGCTTGGTGACTAAGGCGGTACACATTGAAATGGTAGCCGATCTCACCACGCAAGGATTTTTGGCCGCATTGAAAAGGTTCGTGGCTAGGCGAGGAAAGCCCACCTTGATCATGTGCGATAACGGTTCCAATTTTGTGGGTGCAAAACGGGAGTTAAATGAGCTCGCCGTACTATTTGAAGACCAACAATCCCAGCAATCCATAGCTGCACGCGCTGCTGACATCGGAATTGAATTTAAGTTCATTCCAGCCAAATCCCCAAACTTTGGCGGCTTGTGGGAGGCGGCAGTTAAATCAATGAAGCAGCACCTGAGGAAGACCATTGGATTGAAGATTGTTACGCCTGATGAACTACATACTGTCCTAGCACAAATCGAAGCTTGCCTGAATTCCAGGCCACTCACACAGATCAGCAGTGACCCAAACGATCTCAACGTGTTGACTCCTGGTCACTTTCTCATCCAGCGACCGCTGACGGCCGTCGCAGAACCGTGGCTGCAGGATATTCCTCAGGATCGTCTCTCTAGGTGGCAGCAGGCTCAAGACTTTGTACAACGCATTTGGTCCAGATGGTCGACGCAATACTTGTCGGACCTGCACAACAGGACCAAGTGGACCAGGCAGAAGAACAACCTGTTTGTAGGAACAATGGTTCTTATCAAGGAGGATAATCTCCCACCACTGAAGTGGCTTTTGGGAAGGGTAACGCATATCTACCCGGGAGCAGACGGAAACATCAGGGTCGTAACCATTAAGACGAAGGATGGAAGTTTCGTTCGGGCAATCTCCAAAATCTGCATACTGCCCATCAGCGATAACGACCCACCACCAACACTTGGGGAGAACTAGGCCTTCCCTCACCGAAGGCGCTGGAGTGCCTGCGGGAGCCATCCGGCTCCCGCATACCAGTTAAGTGTTTATGTTTTAAAAAATTTCAAAAAAAACTTATGGAATGTTTTGTCCTCATAGCCGCTCATCGCCGAAGGCCGCTGGCCTTCCTGCGAAGTAATCCACGAAATCTGCGTCTTGCTAGACAACGTCAACCGCTCACTCCGATTGCTCAGGTGCACTTGCTGAATTCCAATACCCGGTTCGTTTCCTTGATTGTGGCCAAATCATGGAATCCGGCACGATTCCGTGCCTGTGTACGTTCGCCTTGTTTGCTCCTATCATCAACGGGACAACAAGCCACCTGTATCAATCCTGGGAAAGAGCCACTGCACGAGCATCTAGTAAAGACCAGCCACAACAATCATACCATCCATGAAGTTCACCCAGCATCCGAGTGTTAAGAATCACTACAACAGTTAGCTCCAAGGAACTTGCAACCATCCAACCGAACACGTTCAACCTGGTGAATACATCATCATCAGCGCAGGAGCGCTCGCGGAGGCGCGCAAGCCTCCGCGACAGGGAAGTCGTTTAAAGCTTGTTTTTGACTTGTAAAAAATCGCCCTTCATCTTTTTCAGTCGCCCACCTCAATCACGGCGCTCTGACGGAGTGCGCAGCCGAAGGAGAATCCGTGTAGAGGTCCGCTGCAATCGATCTACGAGACGATGTCGGTACGAAGCCAGCCGGTACGAGTCAGATGCGAACTGAATGACGACTTCAATCAACACCGAGTGGTAGGACACCATCGGTACGCCTGCAGAAGTGTTCCGTACACACCGTATCACCGATTAACTACATCCAGAGCACCAGCCCCGTTGTTATGTACACGTTCAATATTCCTGTGATAATCATCGTGTTTTCTAAATGTTTATTAATGATTAGCAGTAGATAGGTTAAATCAAGTTAACAGTAGATACATTAGTTAGTCATATTGAAATTCCGCGTATTTCAAGGCGGCCGGTTATGTAAAATATTTCCTTAATTTCAATCACCTTTAAATGCTATCGAACCCACTCTACAACAATCATCAGCTTCACTGATGATTGCGAGAGGGAACTCACTCTCACTCTCGCAGCATCCCGCAGATCGAGGTAATAAACCGAAGATCAACCGATAGGCGATAATGATAACGACAAACTCAGTCTCAAATATAGTATGATTCTGATCAGTTGTGTTCTCCCTCAAACCAGTTTTTCGTTTAGTTTTCGAGTGAAAGAAATCATAATTCTAGGTCAAGTGACCGTGAATGACCTTGTGTAGTGTTTTTATCACCTACCATACCCAGTGATCTGAGATCGAAGACGCAACAATAGGCGTTAGGCATAATTTGGTGTAATGTATTTTTTTTTTAAATCCAATTAAAATACTCAAAAATCATTTTTCTCATGAAATTAGCTAATGCTGTATATCATGACCGACATGTTTGTATGTATGTATGTATGTATGTAAGGTAGCCACCATCCTTTCAAGACTTGTCTTGTATGCAGCTCCACTTAATAGCAAGATCAATTTGAGCTACCGATCTGAATTCACTATATCGCTGTATGAAGGGCCAAAAACGGAAGGGTGGACCCATAAGCAGATACACTTACGCGAAATTCACGGGAATTAAAGAATATCCTTCGTTTTGTCAAAAATATTGAACAAATCGAATAACACAATTCGCAATACTTATGAAGCTTCCTACTGGATGGTTTGTCCAGTTTCAGTTTGAGTGATACCCTGATGCTCCCTCCCAACCCAGTATTTATTTATTTAATGAAAATATATGCAATGGAGAAATAAAATAAATCAGAACATTAAAATAAGACATAATGAAATACATTTATATGGACAATATAGTTGCTACTGCAATGAAGAAGTATTTTAAATATAATAAGATGCAGCTCTATACCTCCTCAGCTTACAATGGCAGGTGGAGGCAACACTGTAATGTATAGGATATATTAAGCAATTAAGTATATTTTGCTCGAATGATACTAACAATAATGCTAATAATTGTGATGAATAACTAACATTACGGGAAATAATCTGCTTAATAATTATATACATATAATATTATTTAATGTTGTTATTTCCTCTGCTTCATCAGCTTCATATTAATTTCGATGACTTGCTTGGGTAAACTGAAATATTTAGCTAATAGTAATAGTATATCATGCAATGTATAATTTATATAATAGATGTAGTGAAATGCAAAATATATATATATAAAAAAAGAAAAAAATAAACAAGTTTTGTTATTTATGAATCATTGGTCGTTGGTAGCATCTAGTCTAAAAAGGGTACCTGTATAATAATTATATGCATAGAGCATGAGCATGAGCTTGATTGACCACCTACGGTTGCTACTCTGTTATTGCCAGATCAGATGTACTTACACAGAGAACCAATAGACTGTATATCATGACCGACATTGACAGATAAAATCTGCAATCTAAATGCTCAAAAATCATTTCTTTCTTGGAGTTGATTTCTCTTTCATATCGTGAGCTGTTCTAAGACAGTTAAATTAGAGTTATCAATTCAATTGAAATGCTCACCTATCATTGTTGTTTTTGAGTTGACTCGTTCTTTGTTTGATGAGCTGTTCTTTGACAGACAGGTGTGCGGGATGCAATTCCTAGCAAATCAATATAGTGGTTCTTAACATTTCTTAATTTTTTTTCGTTTTATTCCTGATCGCAAAATATTAGACCCATATTTTTTTTTCTTTCGTCATTAGGGTGACCATTTCGTTTCGCTCTAATATTGGCCTATGGATCTAAGATTGGGCCAATCGCTAAAATCTGCTATTTATCAATTTTATCTAGATGAACGCGTCATTAGGTCGGTACTAATGGATATTTTTGGTCGCCTTTGAAAATTTAGTCGATTTAAGAATTCATGTATAGGCCCCACAAAAGGGGCATTTAGGCCGACATTACATCTATTTCCCCTACTACAAAAATACGGGATGGTGGACTATAGAGCTTTCTTCCAATGATCAATGTTCTCTATATACGTTCAAATTTCACAATCACCCAACAATGTTATCCCCACAGCAAAACAGAAATCAGTCAATATTATACTAGACCAATAAAAAGCAGAAGACAAAAAAAAAATCACCCAACCGCCACATATCGTTGCAAGCGTCCCCTACCATCACTCACTCCCGAAAGCTTTCGATCCCAAGTCACATGGCCATGGTCGTTAAAGTGGGCTCTTCTCCACTCATCACTCACCAACACATGCACCAACCGTCCAAACGTCCCCTACTGACTATGTATTCCGACAGCAGCGAATCACTCACGAGAATTCTTAGTTGGCTCTCACAGGTCTCCCCTTTTTCGATTTCAATACTGGGCTGCATGTAGTGCCCCCCTTCCGATCCAGTCAACGTGCGTTGGTTGTGTGCGGGAACCCGCCATGTGAGCTATATTTAGAACCGGGAATAAGAAGAACAAACTCCGGCAAACGGTTCCCACACAGCTCCACACTTCGATGACAACCATCAGTGAGCGAAAAAAAAAGAGAATAAAGAAGAAGAACACACCAAAACAGGAAGCGTGTCAAGGATAATCGACGATGGCAGCACAAATAGAAAGGAGGAAAACGGGCTCACCAACACTAGCAGTCAGGCTGACACTTTCCACCGACCGACCACACCATATCAGGATCATCAATATCCTGTACAAGGGAGCAAGTGGCCGGATGACACGAGGGCGAGGTGGGGTTGGTAATGAATTGGGTTTTGTCGTCGGGAGTGAGTACGCAGAGGAGGACTGTTGATTCCTCTGATGGGGTGCTGTGCGTGTGGTCTATGGACATTGACGTAGCTAAGGGGGGTGCCTTGTCCACTCCAGAATTATTTTTTTTTCGTGATTCTAACAACGACAATTTAACTTATATTAACTTTAAAAACAAACTTGAAGGGGCCTGACCCCCCCCCCCCCCTAGGCATTCCCATTAGCTATGCCATTGCCTATAAGGGACCCAAAGCGTCTGTATTTTGATGATGGTTGATGAATGGTGCGTCTCTCCCGCAGGAGAGTGATTGATGAGGGAAATTTGAAATGAGTGTGCGAGGCCGAGTGTGCGGAATTGGATCGTGGTTTCTGGATGTCAATTTTGGTGAACTTTCAATTAAGAACCTGTCAAGGGTAAACGGGAACGTGCCGTGGTAATTAGACGGGGTTCAGGTCGATTATCGAAGGTTAGTGTCTCCGTTACGAGGGGAGTGTTGTGATGGAAGTCTGTTTTTTTTGCAGTGGAATTTGACAAATTGCATTTTAACGCTTTCTTAGGCAACTATATTGCCACCGACAATAAAGATTTTTTTATTTAGATCACTCACTAAAAATTCTGTTTTCTTTATTGATCTGTTGAAAACTAATAATAAAATACTGCTTATTTTGTTTTTATAAAATCTGCTTAAAGTTGCTTTGGAATTGTTTTTTTTTTCTAAAATTCTCGTAATAGTTCTTCAGTGACTGTATCCTGGCAATCTAGTCCAGCTCAATTTATTTTCAAGGTGACTTCTAATCCCCGATATTCCCGATTTCCCGATTCACTGGTCACCCTGAGTGATGCCTCATAGCTTCGACCAGCTCCACTGGTGTAGTGTGCAGATCGCTTTCCGTTCATTTTCCTTTCCCTCTATTCTGACGTTAACTGTTAGTTCTGACCAGCTCGTCTATCGGGAAGCAACTGATGGTGGAAGTATTTTTTTTTTTGACTTTAAATGATCTTCATTTCTTGTACTTGTGTGGTTAACATGTAATACTTATCAAGGAACACATATTTAGTTCCTTTGAAATTTCAATTATTATTAATTACAGTTCCTAGTCCTATCAAGCCTGTTTTAAGAATGACCACCTTGATGGGATTGGTTTGTTTTAAATTTGAAAAAGGAGACTACTTATAAGTACCATTTACAACTACAACTAACCTTCAACTACTATATATACCTAATCTA